TTTACAGTCTCCATAGGGGAGGGAGCGAGAGGAGGCAATGCTCCCCTCCCTTTAAAACAACCCGTTTACCGACGGCCTAACGCGCTGAATGTAGGGTCGCTGAACTTGTGCTAGAGTCCTTCACACCTCAGCACTAAGAGTGTTAACGGGTTTTGTGATTTCAAATTTTACAGTCTTAATAGGGGAGGGAGCGAGAGGAAGGAACTCTCCCCTCTCTTCAAAAAACACGTTTACCGACGGCCTAACGCGCTCAATGTAGGGTCGCTGAAATTGTGCCAGAGTCCTTCACACCTCAGCGCCAAAAGTAAACGGGTTTTGTGATTTCAAATTTTACAGTCTCCATAGGGAAGGGAGCGAGAAAAGGCAACGCTACCCTTCCTTCAAAAACCTGTTTACTGACGGCCTAACGCGCTGAATTTAGGGTCGCTGGGCTTGTGCTCTCGTTCTTTACATCGCGGCACCAAAGGTAAACGGGCTTTCCAACTCCAATTTTTAAAGTGTCTTGGTCAGCGCCAGCTAAACGCGCAGTACGGTTCGCGATGCCAGCGTTGCCGATTCGGTGAATAGCAATGCGGCTTCATCGCAGCCACGGAGTGCGACCGCAGCCGGCACAAATTTCGGCGCATGAGCTGGTTTTGATTTAAATGGAATGTAAAAATAGAAACCTCTTTGGCTGGTATCGAACCTGAATCCACCACCCAAACGCTTGGTCCAACGCTCTTCCCTCGAGGGTTTCGATCTCAACACCATCCGTCTAGGGGCTGTGCTCGTGCTCCGACTAACCAGTGTCTCATTAGCTCAGATGACTACGTGCGGCACCTGACGCGCTGCGCAGGGAGGTTTTTGATTCAAATATAGGCACCGCACAATTTTTTAAGCGGTCTTGCTACCGCTTCTAGCTCTGCATCCGATCCCACTCATCCCATCCCATCCATCCATCTATTAAGGGGGCACACCAGTGAAAATGTAGAGGTTTTAAAAAACGATCATTCTAAGAAAAGTAACCAATGTATTCGATTGATATTTTATTCGTGGCTCAAAATTATGTCAAAGAAAAGAAAAATCAGTATGGGAGGGTGGGGTGGCGATGGCAAGACGGAGCGCTAGTGCACTTCATTTTTCTGCGACCTCGTCTCACTCCTGCCACGATTCCGCCTCTCTGGATTGAGCCTCGAGCACGGGATTTGAAAATTTCTCAACAGGACACATGTGGCTATGGTCTGAACCACGGGCATGCAAAAAGAATGATTTTGAATTTGTTTTTTCAAAAGGCAAAAAGAGAAACAAATTTTTTAACCAATTTTTTTGCGCTTTCATGGCTGCAGCTCACGTCCTATTTATGCGATGGCCATTTCCGAGGTTCAGACCATAGACGCAAGTTTCACGAACATTTTGCCGCAAACCGCATTAATTTATCTCAATTTTTGCGCCCGTGAGAGTGGCACAAAGGTACAAAAAAGGTGTTTTGAGAAAAAGCCCTTTCAGTAGAAACATAGATTTGACGTGTTTTTTCGGATTATAAATGCGCTATTTGACGTATTTAAGTTCGTTTTGCGCCAAAATGACGCTATTTTTAACTGCGTTTGGGTGGTTCAAGGGTTTTGTAATTAAACTTCAATTGAAAAACCTGAACGTTCACATTTGGTCTATAATATCCAAAAATAATAACCTTTTTAGCAACTTTAAAAATGTGCACAAGCCAAAGTAATTGGAATTTCGGGACGGGGTTTGCGGCATTCGACTCGGGATGAATAGCAGAAAAATAAGATAAAATAAAAAAGGAGGCAAAAATTTGACGGTTTTCACTGGTGTGCCCCCTTAAGCGCGCTCGGAGGGGACTGCATGGTCGTGTTGGTTCCGTCGTCCGTCGTCCGTCGTCGTCCTGCGCCGCCACGCCGCGCCGCCGCGCCAGTCCCCACTCCTCACAGCCACCCCCTCCCTCCTTGCCCCCTCTCTGCCCGGCCTCGCCTGCCGGGCCACGGCAAGACCGCTTTGCTAAGCTTGCCTTGGCGGAACTTTTTTTCTTGCAACCTGTATTTTTTCTGCGTGAATACAACAAAGCAGAAAGTCTCGTTGCCGCCTTTAAACGCAGGTCGGGCTCCGTCCCCACCCAGCCGCATGTTACGAGAACGGCCAGACAAAGCTCGCCCCACCAGGTGCAGGCTCGGCCACGTTGCCGCACTGCCGGCCAGGTGCCACGTTGCCGCTTTAAGGGGGGACATCACTCCAAAAACAGTGCTTTTGTAAAAACGCCACAAAAACCAAACGGAAAGAGAAAAATTGTTCATATTTTAAGAGATAAAGTACAAAACAACACTAAGTCAATCCGCCAGGGCAGTACAGCGCTTTCGTTGAAAATGCATTTTTGAGTGTTAGGTTAGTCCATTTCGCACGGTTGCAGCGCTGGACGCCAAACGGTTTGACCTAGAACAACGAAATTTTGTGACAGCCTTCCTGAGATGTCTGGCTATGGTGGGTACCTCAATCACATTTAAAAAAACATTTTTAGTTGTATTTGTGACATACCAAAAAAAATTGTTGAATTTTTTTGGTCGAAATTGTTTAATTACGAACGTTTAATAAATAATAAAAATTGACCAATGCAAATAATTTTGCTACCTACCATAGCGGCATGTCGTAGGAGCTTCCATGCTAAATCTCCCCACTGTAGCTCAAAAACTGCGCCCTAGAGGACTGCAACCGTTTGCAATTTTATGTTCCGAGAAAAACGCGATCAAAGTTGGGATTACTGGGCTTTTCCCCTATGCATGTTTGCGGCCCACAACCTCCTAAAACTGCAATTTTTTGAATTTTGGAATGCGGTTTTCGCCATTCGACGCAGAAAAGAATGGTCTATAGTATAAACAAATAAAAAAAAGTTGCAATTTTTGATCATTTTGGAGTGATGTCCCCCCTTAAGCTTCGACGAGCATGAAGCCTGCCGGCCGCTCGCTGGCCAAACCGACAGCCGCTGGCTTATGTGCTCCCCCACCCCCTCTCCCCCTTCCCCTTCTCAACGTTTCCTCTTCTCGAACGAGACCAGGCAGGGCAGGCCGCTACTTCACAACGGCCGTCGTGGCGCTGTGGAAACGGCCGGGTCCGCGGGCCCGGAGTCCGTAGGTTCGACTACCACCCAGGCGCATAATTTTGTTGCTCTTTTCTGCACGCTGTTAATACCATAGGTCAAATGAACTGTGGATAGCAGATAAAGAGCTGCAACCTACGGATGACTTGAACTGAAATCACAAAACCCGTTTACTTTTGGCGCTGAGGTGTGAAGGACTCTGGCACAAATTCAGCGACCCTACATTGAGCTCGTTAGGGCCGTCGGTAATCGTGTTTTTTGAAGGGAGGGGAGAGTTCCTTCCTCTCGCCCCCTCCCCTATTAAGACTGTAAAATTTCAAATCACAAAACCCGTTTACTCTTAGTGCTGAGGTGTGAAGGACTCTAGCACAAGTTCAGCGACCCAACATTCAGCGCGTTAGGCCGTCGGTAAACGGGTTGTTTTAAAGGGAGGGGAGCATTGCCTCCTCTCGCTCCCTCCCCTATGGAGACTGTAAAATTTGAAATCACAAAACCCGTTTACTTTTGGTTCTGTAGTTTAAGAGACTCTAGCACAAGTTCAGCGAACCCAAGATGAGCTCGGTAGGCCGTCGGTAAACGGGTTTTTTGAAGGAAGGGTAGCGTTCCCTCCTCTCGCTCCCTTCCCTATGAAGACTGTAAAATTTGAAATCACAAAACCCGTTTACTTTTGGCGCTGAGGTGTGAAGGACTCTGGCACAAGTTCAGCGACCCTACATTGAGCGCGTTAGGCCGTCGGTAAACGTGTTTTTTGAAGGGACACTCTACAAAAAATGTCCTGTCAACGCCGTTAATTTATTACCAATGTTTGCTGTTATGCAATTCACGGCGTTTGCTGTGAACTAGGTCACGGCGTTCACTGTGTTCTCAGTTACAGTGTTCACTGTGATCTGGCCACAGTAAACGCCGTGAATTGGAGCCTGATTTGCAGTACGTCGGTGCTCAGCGACGTCATCCTCACAGTGTTTACTGGGGACCAGATCACAGTGAACACCGCGAACAAAATCACAGTGAATCCCGTGAGCAGATCACAGTAAACGCTGTGAATTGACCTACAGTGAAAACTGGTAATAAATTAACGGCATTTACAGGACATTTTTGGTAGAGTGCTCACAGGCCCTCGCAGGGCGCGTAAAACCCGGGGTAAACGGGTTTAGGGTTTCGTTGAGGCTGGCGCCTGCCCAGCCCCCGCAGTTCGTCACGGGCAGCAACGTGACACATTGTGACCCGTTTATTTTCGTTGTCCTTACCCTTTGGGAGTTCTGGCGTGCCTCACTGGCCTTCCCGGGGCGCGTAAAACCCGGGGTAAACGGGTTTAGGGTTTCATTGAGGCTAGCGCTTGCTCAGCCCCCGCGGTTCGTCACGGGCAGCAACGTGACACGTTCTCCTGAGCCTGGGAGAGTTCTGGGAGTTTCTGAACTTCCCTGGTGGTCGCGTTCAACCTATTATATACGGGATATTCATTATACTTTGCATGAAGTTTTGACGAAGGTGATGACGTCAGGGCCGCCCATAACCTCACTACGGGTAACTTTTATTTTTTATCTGATGAGTCGTTTATTTACCCATGTGCGTTGCCGGCTCGATTTCTGCAATGTTTCTGAATCGAACCAGCCCGATCTTGGGCCGCAATACCTTCCAAATAACGAATTGCGACGATTTAAAATCTGTTAGTGGGCGGACGTGGCGTTGTCAGCAGACAACTGCTGCCAGGGGGCAGCACCTTACAACGACCTCGCGCGTGGAGTATCGCCACCGGGGGGGTCGGATTCTTTTGCACACCATAGTACGACCATTTTGTCGGTGATACATTCGCGTATGAACCTTTTTTTCAGTGATATATTTGGTATCACCGAGATGGCTCGCCCTTTGAATTACAGTGTAGTTTCACTCGCACTTGCTCTTCCCCCGTCCGCAGACTTTTCCGGCCGATGGAAGATGCTGCACCACTACGCCGTGGACTTCCTGGCCCCGCTGCTGGTGTCCCCGTTCGTCAATGCGGGCACGCTCCTCGTAGACGTAGTGTCCGACGCGCCGCGGTCCGGCGAGCTGCTCGTGCACACCGACGTGCTGGCCTGGGACTCGTTCCAGCCGCGCGCGCAGAGCGTGAACGCCGTGACGATGAAGGGCGCGGGCAGCACGGTGCGCGCGCTCGTCAAGCCCATGTGGGCCGTGCTGCGCGAGGCGGGCTGCCCAGAGAACGCCACCTGGGGCCAAGCCTGGGGCTGCGTGATCCTGTTCAGGCTGACGGACACCAACAACGCCACCCTCGCGGAGAACTTCCTGCTCCCATTCTCCCCCAAGGAAACCCGCATGCCGACGGCCACGTTCCAGGTAGGCTTGGGGAGAACGACTTCCTGTCCAGGTCGGAGGCGAGGGCAGTGTTCCCCGCGGCAGGGGGTAGCAACACGGCACTTTAGGGCGCTCCGTCCGGTAGCGAGGCCCGGCCTCCCACCACCGCCCCAGCCGGTGCCGGCCTGTTGTGAGCCTAGCTAACATCTCAAAAAAACACTGTTTTTGTACGTTATTTGGTGGCAAATCAGTCTCGTTTGTAGTCAGTTCCCTCGTTCATTTCATTATGTTTCGATCAAGCACAGAAGATACTGCTTTCTTTGTGCCAAAATCACAGAGCACTTTTGCTGATGCGAGCCGCTGCAACTGGCCGCAGCGCCTCGCCGCGTAGACGTTTCGCTTTAGCAAAAGTGCTCTGAGATTTTGGCACAAAGAAAATAGTATCTTCTTTGCTTGAACGAAAGAAAACAAAATAAACGAGGGAACTGACTACTAACGAGACTGATTTGCCACCAAATAACGTACGAAAACAGTGCACACTAAACTTCTTACGGATACATCCTATCTGTATTACGGACATTTTTGTGCAATTGCAATTACGGATAGATTTTGCTTGTAATACGGATGAAACCATCCGTATTACAAAGAGTTTTACGTCCGTAACATACAGACGAAAATATCCGTATGGTACGGACGTAAAACTCTTTGTAATATGGATGATTTCATCCGTATTACAAGCAAAATCTATCCGTAATTGCAATTGCACAAAAATGTCCGTAATACGGATAGAATGTATCCGTAAGAAGTTTAGTGTGTGTTTTTCTGAGATGGTAGTTAGGCTCACAACTGGCCGGCACCGGCTAGGGCGGTTGCGGGGGGCCGGGCCTCGTTACGGCACGGAGCGCTCAAAAGTGCCGTGTTGCTACACTGTTAAAAATAATCGTAAATTTACGACATTTTGTAGAACAATTATGTTGTTTTTAAACGACATGTTTTGTTACGACCCAAGTCGTAAATATATGACTTGAGTCGTAAATATACGACATATTTGTCGCTTATTTTGATAGCGAGACGTTCCGTTTTAAAACGAATCAAGTCGTAAATTTACGACTTAATCGTAAATTTACGAACGATCGTAATTTAGTGATGGGATATGTCGTGCAGTTACAAGGTAGGTTTACGCCAGACCGAGTCTTGTCGTAACAGGCTTCGCGATGTTTCGCTGCCTGTTCCTCCAATCCGCGCCTGGCGTACCTACCTTGGCCTGCGGCGCTAGCCTGCCTTCGGCAGGCAATGGCTTGTCCATCATCCGTTACTTCTAACTTGCTGCATGCTGGGGGGCTCCGACCCCAGACCTCCCTTCATTCTAGGAAGAGTTGCTTCATCTACAGATAACATGATCTTGACCCTTGTAACCTTTGAACTTATCGAGGATGGGGGGCTCTGCCCCCCCCCCTTCTTCAATTCAAAAGGCATCCTACCTGCAGAAAACTCGATTTTTCGCCGTTTTTTAGGCGATTTCGGCTATAAAATCTGAACCAGTTGAGCTACGATGGTGAGATTTCGCGTGTGCCGAGCCAAGGACATGCCTAAAGAGTGTGCAAAATCTCACCGAGATCGGCCGAGCCGTTCAGTAGTAGTGCGGACAGACTCACACACACACACAGACAGACAGACAGACAGAAAAAACTTTTCAACCCCACTAGAGTGACAGGCTTCGCTATCGCTCAGCCAATGACTTCAGTCGTACATTTACGACTCTTGTCATAAATTTGTGTTATGATTCGTAAATGAACGACACAAATCGTAAATAAGCGAACAAAATTGTAACTTTTCACCAACTTTTCGCGGATTTCAGATTTTGAAATATGTAATCGTGATTACGACATTTTTGCAGAGAAATGGCTTTTAAGTCATTCATTTACGACGAAGTAGTCTTGGAACGACTTCCGTCGCAATGAAAATTAGCGACTCTTTTTCGCTTATTTACGACAAAATTTCTGACAGTGTTCCCCCTGTCCGCGACCTCCACTTTTGAGTTGTGCTCCCTGCCGCCAGAAACAGTTCAGCCTGTTCCATTTACCTCCTTGCAGTTGGGCAGAGTGGGGGGCCCTTTCCCCGGCACGCAGCACCAGCGCTGGGACTACGAGCTCACTCTGGTCGCGTCCTCGCCGGCGGCCTTCGTGTGGCTGGAGGCGGGCCCCGTGCTGGGTCGCTTCTCCCGCAACGGCTTCCACGTGACGGGTGCCGAGGGTCTGGAGCTACGCTTCCACAGTGACCAGGAGATGCCCGCCGACGAGTTACTCCAGCACCTCACTGTCAGGGCGCTCAACGGCCAGGGGTTTTCAAGAGTCCAGGAGGGGGTGGAGTTGCTTAAAATTTGAATACATACAGCGGTACGTGTCGGAGGTTGCTAACAATAACTTTTTAGCCCTTTTTTTATTTTTTCAAGAAACTTTGCACAGAGCAGGTTTGAACTAAATTAAAGCTTCTCTCTCAAATGAAAATGGTCGACAAAGAGTCAATAAACAGATAAAAAATTTTGAGTTCCTCTACGACGCTACACTGTTAAAAAAATTCTTAAATTTAATACATAATGACATCTTAATTTTAATAACCTTTTGAAAGGATATGAAAACTCATAAAGGTTTGTGAAGTTTAAGAAAATTTCTTACATTTACCAAAACATTTCTGACAAGTAATGAAAATATTGGTAAGTTTCAGAAACTTTATTAAAATTAAAAAACAGGTTCATTAAATTTGAGACTGTTTACCAAATGCAATAATTTGTTTCTTAAAATTCAAAATTACTATGACTTTTCATATTTGATTCTCATCCTGCCAGTTAAAATTGTGATCATTGGACGCTTCACTACCAGTGTACGTAAAGAACAAATTTGGATGATCTTGGTCATGTGAAGTCGTGTTTGGAGGCCCTGGGATGAGCGCTTCCACTGCCTAGCGGAGTCTCCGCCGAGAGGCTTGGAGTCATCCACATCCTAGAGCCCGCCTCGCAGAGCTCACTCGTGGCGCAGTTGGTAGCGTCGCGGTGCGGTAATCCGGAATTCCGGGTTCGAGACCGAGTTTGAACCACGCTTCCAAGCGATTTCGGCAGTGAAATCGACTACTACCATACAATGAATAACTCATTACGTACATAAGGCGTTCAATTTTTACCTGCTCTATATTAAATTCTTCTTAAATGCAAAAACAACTTTTAAGAAACAGATTATTACTTTTCAAATTTGATTCTTACTTTTAAGAAGAAAAAGTTTATTACTTTTATTAGCAAAAAGTCTTTGTAAACTGCTTCATAAAAAAGTTTCTTAAAATTAAGATGGATTTTTTTAACAGTGTAATATGAGTCAAAAAGTCAAGTATTTTATCAAAATGTTACCTCTTTATACCCTAATTTCATGCAAGCATGACTAGCACCTTGAGAAGCTAGCAGTTGGATTTGAAACAAGAGCTGAGAGTCTGGAAGGCCACTGTCACACTCTAAGAATTTTTTTTGTAAATTTACAACCAAACTTCTGCAAATTTTGTACCACAAACTCGTTGTTTTTGAAAATTACGACGTTTGTACTTTTACAGGCAGCTTTGTTTTTTGGCGACAAAGAGGGGCAAATTTTTTCGGTCCTTGAAGGCTGTTGCCAAATACAACCATGATCATCAAATGAATGAAAAAGTCATCATTTTACGACAACTTGTAAAATTTTGAATCCGTTTGTCTTTGTCAATTTACAGCAAAAGATGTAAAATATTGAAAAACAGGTCGGTCTGGTGGTTTTGAACCTGTCATGTTTCACTTGCGGCGCACGCTCTTTACCACTGAGCTACAAAGACATACAGGAATCAAGGTGTCAGCTACCATGACACTTGAAGCCCACCTCCCCTTTCTTTTTTCAGACAAACTCCGGTAAATGAACAGAAAATCCATTTTTTTTTCATAAATTAACAGCATTAGTTGTACTTTGCACTAAACAATAAGATTATATATTATTTTTTCGTAACCGTACAACATGTATTGTACTTTGCAAAAACAAACCATCAAGATAATCCGATTTTTGTTCGTAAATGTTGTGAAATACAGTCTAAAGATTCCTAACCATATCTGGTCACTTGCATGCAAGCCGCCATCTTAACCCAAACACACTCCGTTCCATTCCTATACTATTGGCCTAGAGAGCTCCCTGCCAAGGACTCCTAGAACTGGTCACTCACGGTCCTGTTGACGAACGTACCCTCAAACTACTATAAAAGCAGCCGCTCAGCAGAGCCGGGGGCAGTCTGTCGCCTAGTGTTGACCCTGATACGTCTTACAATAAACCAGTGATACCTGAACATCTCTACCATTCCTTAAGCCCTTGCACACACTACAAGTGGTGACAGCGGTGCACGGTTCGGTAGCTCTGTTCGGGTACCTCAGATTTTTGGAAGGACAAATCTGAAAATCAACGTTAGGTGATTCTGAAAAGAAGGACGAGGTTAGGAGGGAAGACCAAGGGAAGAAGCCTGTGTACGTTGCGCCCGCTTACAGCGAAGAGGCCTGCGTATATTGTGCCCTGAGGTCGAGAGGTTAGGGAAGTCCGTCTTGGTTAGGGTATGCGAGGTTAAGGGGGACCAGGGAAGACCGCCTGTTTATTCTGTGCTCACTTCGGTAAAGAAGCCTGAGTAATCTGTGCGCCCTGCTTGAGCGTGTGTGTGTTTGAATGAGTCTGTAGTGGTTTCAAGGGAGTTACGCCTGGGATCGCTGTGCTCCCTCAAGGGAAGAAGCTTGCGATCTTTGAGCGCCTTGAAGTCAAGTAGATACCAGGGAGGAACGCCTGTAGCCGCATTGTGCTCCCATTGGGGAAGAAGCTGGTTTGGTTACTGTGCGCCCAGGTGAGGGCGTGTGGTGAGTTTCAGGAATAAGGGTAAAACAAGAGACAAGAAAAACAGAAAAATGTCGTGTCAACGTTCAAACCCGTGGAACATCGCGTCAACGTCGGCGTCTGGAGGCGAATCTGTCATCGAGACTGCGGAGAATCCATCTCAGAAACCTGATGCCACCGTCGCCATGGTTCCCACAGATGAAGACTTCCGTGGCTTTGACGTCGTGGAAAAAACAACGAAACCTCTTCGAGGTCGTGGCCGTCCCCGTGGTTCTCGAGGGACTACGCGTGGACGTGGTCGTGGACGCACCGTGCAGCGCGGAGCCAGGGGGTACCTGCGGAAAGAAGAGGAAGATGATGAGGAGGATAATGAAGATGAGGACGAGGAGGAAGAAGAAGAAGGTGCTCGTGGAACACTACCGGAAGGTTTCCAACCTTTTGTCCAGCTGGTTGGTCAACTTCTGGCCACTAAAAATCCTCAAGCAATCAGAGTCCCAGAGTATGATGGAACTTTGTGCCATACCATGTTCCGAGCGCAGTTTGTGGCCTTGACTTCAGGATTGACCAAAGAAGAACAAGGCGTTCGGTTGCTTGGAGCCCTTCGAGGAAGAGCCCTGATGGTCCTTACAATAATTGGCCAGCAGCAGAAGGAAGCCAACTTTGACAACCTGGACGTCATACTGACAAAAACATTCAGTAGTGTCAAGTCCTTGTGGGAACGGAAGAGGGAGTTCGAAACTCTCCAGCAGCAACCTCAGCAGAAAATACAAGAGTTTGCACAAGAAGTGGAAAGAGTGGGAAGAGAGTACATGGTTACTCATACGGAACCAGACTTACAAGAAGCCCTTGTGACTGCTTTCGTCAAAGGGTTAGCGGACAAGGATGCAGCAAACCGCTTGGCGTATGCTCCTTGCAATACACTGGAGGAAGCCGTTCGACATTTAAATCGTGGATTGCTCCTCAGTGTGGATAAGTCCAGGAAAGTGCGAATGGTGGAGACTACAGTGAACAGCGCACAAGTGGAGCAGAATGCAACAGCACCTGAAGTGGATGTCAATGCACAGTTGGCAGAACTCATGAAGAAATTAAAGGCTTTGACACCAGCTACGGCCTCAGTTAATTTAGTGGAAGAAGCTCCAGGAACATCCAACAGTAATCCCCCAGGGCGGGGGAGAGGACGTGGCAGAGGCCGTCCACGAGGTTGAAGAGGAGGAAGAGGTCGAGGTGGCCAAAACACACCTGCGTTTGTATGCCACAATTGCGGAAAGCCTGGACATTATGCTTCTGAATGTTACATTCCAAGGCAACAACAATCAAACATGCCATTACTGCAAGAGGCCTGGACATATGGGAAGTTGCCAAAATTGTGGGTCCTTTTGTGTCTTTGGGCCACAGTTTCCTTATTTTTCGACGTATCGACCTGCGGTTTGATTCCTATTACTGGGCTACATCTACCCTGCTATCCCACTGACTAACCGAGCATGCAGTTTAAGGGGGCACACCAGTGAAAATGTAGAGGTTTTGAAAAACGATCACTCTGAGAAAAGTAACCTATGTATTCGATTGATATTTTATTCGTGGCTCAAAATTATGTCAAAGAAAAGAAAAATCAGTATGGGAGGGTGGGGTGGCGATGGCAAGACGGAGCGCCAGTGCACTTCATTTTTCTGCGACCTCGTCTCACTCCTGCCACGATGCCGCCTCTCTGGATTGAGCCTCGAGCACGGGATTTGAAAATTTCTCAACAGGACACATGTGGCTATGGTCTGAACCACGGGCATGCAAAAAGAATGATTTTGAATTTGTTTTTTCAAACCAAATTTTTTCGCGCTTTCATGGCTGCAGCTCACGTCCTATTTATGGGATGGCCATTTCCGAGGTTCAGACCATAGACGCAAGTTTAACGAACATTTTGCCGCAAACCGCATTAATTTATCTCAAGTTTTGCGCCCGTGAGAGTGGCACAAAGGTACAAAAAAGGTGTTTTGAGAAAAAGCCCTTTTAGTAGAAACATAGATTTGACGGGTTTTTTCGGATTATAAATGCGCTATTTGACGTATTTAAGTTCGTTTTGCACCAAAATGACCCTCTTTTTAACTGCGTTTGGGTGGTTCAAGGGTTTTGTAATTAAACTTCAAGTGAAAAAGCTGAACGTTCACAATAGGTCCAAAATATCCAGGAATAATAACCTTTTTAACAACTTTAAAAATGTGCACAAGCCAAAGTAATTGGAATTTTGGGGTGGGGTTTGCGGCATTCGACTCGGGATGAATAGCAGAAAAATAAGATAAAATATAAAAGAAGGCAAAAATTTAACGATTTTCACTGGTGTGCCCCCTTAAGCATTTCCCTGTCAAAACAGGCTAAAACTGGGCAAAACGTAACTTCCGTGCTGTCCATTGTCCAAAAAGTCCGTGTTCCAGGACGAAAATCTCCTGAACTATTTGTCGGAGAGCAAATCCGCGAACAGCCTTTTGTTCCGTTGGCAACCCTTTATGACACTCTTGAAAAGCAATTTATTCCAGTGACTCTCACCTCCTGCTTTATTAGATGAAAAAATGTCCACCGTGTATTGGTTTTCAAACATCGACAACTTTAGTTTGACGCCTCAGCGCCGCACAGTGGGCGGAAAGACCACTTTTGACGGGAAAAAGTCATTACAACCGAATTACTCGTCCGAAAAACATCATTCATCCGTATTCTATGTTTTTGGGGTCGCTGATTCTAAATCTGATCATACTTCGAACTTTTCAGGGGCGGATCCGGAGATATAAGGGGGATAGATTTTAATTTTGGAGCAATCCGCGCTAAAACTCCGTACTCTGGGTTTTTGGGGTCGCTTAATCCAAATCTGCCCATGTCTTAAATTTTTCTGGGGCACATCCAGTGATACAAGGGGGGTAAATTTTATTTTCCGAGCATACCGCGTCAAAACGTCCCATATCAGTTTTCAAGGGTCACTGATCCTAAATCTAGCCATGTTTCGAACTTTGCAGGGGCAGATTCTGTGAATCAAGGTGGGTGACTTTAATTTTTCAAGGTTTATTCAAGGATTAAGAGGGTCATTATCATCATCCTGATTCTAAATCTGGCCATTTTTCGATTTTTCTATGGACGGATAGTATTAATTTACTGTATAATTTACTAAATCAACAGCGTAGGCCCCCTATTGTGGCAACAGTTTTTATTGCGTTTCTTCTTCTACTTCTAATACAAGGCAACGACACGTTACAAGCCAAGCTACAGCACTGATCGACTCCAAACGCGTCATTGGTCCAGTTGTGTCGCCCCGATTCCGAATATACCCATATTTGCTGTCCTAAGTCGACAACACTGAAAAATCATTGTACAAGGGGAGGGGGCGCAGGAGGAGGGGGGAAGTGGGAGTGAACGGGAGGGGGAGGGGAAAGGGAGGGGGCCGGAGGCGGGAGGGGAATGCCCTGAGACGACCTATGCGATTGACATGCGTCGGGACCCGTTTTTTCGTACGCAAGCTCACACAAATCGAGCCATAAACTTCGGAAGGGCAGCTATGGGCAGCTAATTCTTTTTCCCTCCGAGAGAGCACTCTTTGCGGCCCCAAATGAACCTAGAGCGAGCGCGGGGCAACTTGAGGCTTTTTATGCCGCCCAAGGGAACTTTGGAATTTTGTGTTTTGTGACATGCAAATTTCAAACGGCCGTAGTTTTGTCAATTATACTCGAAATTACAATCCGAGGACAGTTTTGGAATCCTCGTGAATTGCAATTTTTAAAAACATCCGGGTTGTAAAATTAGATCTAAAACTGACTCAGTAAACGCAGCGAATGTATGCGCTTTTTGTTGCGATATTTCTAAGCGAATAGATACCTGTGACTTACAAGCCTTCTATGAGAAAAACGAAAAGACGCATGATAAAAACAAAGGCAGATTTGGATTCGGCACACTTTTTTGAGCTAGGAAAGTGCATTTATTAGAATCTTCATAAGGGTTGCGGAACCCGACTTTTTCCCGTCAAAAGTGGTCTTTCCGCCCACTGTGCGCCGAACCAGTCGCGACAAAAGGTCGGCTCAACGCCCGGAATAAGCAGCACGGTTCCCTCTTTCCGGTGCGGTAGGCGGACTTTCGCTGGAGGGCTCCATTCCGGCTGGCTGGACCATCAAAGGTAAAAATCCGGCATGTGTCAGGTTTGTGTGTAACATTCCGTGTCATCAATAGCAAGCTTGCTACTCGGCCTATCGATTTCGGTCTACCT